CGCGCTTTTGTTGCGCTCGTGACGTGAACACACAGGGGAAAATGCTGCGAAGTGCTTTTAGAAATATAATAAATATAAAATACAACGTAATCCTCGGTGGAAAATAGTCCAGGAAACGTGTGCATTCCCGGGAGCTGTTCACCTGCAGCCCACAGAGAAAGAAAAAAAGGCAGTAATTATTGATAAGGTAGTAAGCATGCTGTGGCTTCACCTGTCGCATTTTCTTTGAAAGAAAGAAAAAGTAGCTTGCAGAGCTGTCGCATCGGTGCAACGTGATTAAAAGCAGAGCTGCGCRTCTAGTCTCACACACGTCTTCCTATCTTTGTGAGGACCACACACAGCGCTCAGCCTCGCTCTGCGCCRTCTTTTTCCCCAAGTTTGGTGAGAGGTGGATATGGAAGGTCGTAAAAAATAGCTCTCGACTTGATCTGGCCTTATTTAAATAAAAATGACTACATGTCGTGAAATTCTTAGAGGGACGGGCCGTCTCGTTGGCGGGGGTCCCACCCCGCCTGCATAATGGTAGGGGAAACACCGATATGTTAAGATATCAGTTTTTGAGAAAGGGGTATTTTTCAAGTTCTCAGAAACGTAAAATAACATTAGTGATCCTGAATATAAAAGGGYTTGTGACACTATAAAATTTTAGAGAACTTATGCTGACCTGTGAGTGTGAAAGTGTTGCTCCGAATAAATTACTCATATATCTTATATATTTGATCTAATTGTTAGCATTACAATATGTATACATCCGAATAAGGCTTCCAGTATTTTTTTATTCAATCTTCAGCATAGGTGTGTTCAGTGTTGGACAAACTTTTCATGAGTTGTTATAAGTTGTCTAAAGCTGCTACTTTCATATTCAGAAGGTTAACAACACATTTACAAAATTATAAAAAATATTGGTCATGAGAAGTACTGTTTATTATTGGCAAAATTGTAGTTGGTAAAGTATTCAATTAGCAAAATGTAGCATAAAGTAGAAGAGAATAGAAACTGGATTAACCCACTCACAGGTAGATGATGGGACTTCACAGGGATAGTTGTTCTACTAGATAATTTTAGAAGCTAATATTCTAGTAGGAAACCAGATGTTGAAAAGAAATAACAGATGTGATGATGCCATTCAAAACCACTAATCAACTATAAAATAGTGTTATTACAAAAAGCTAAAGAAGAGCTCTTTGTTTAAGAACCGTTTCGTCACGAATGTGTTGTTGCTCAGTTTACTCAAAGTTATCTAACTTGGGGTATTTATTGATGACTGGCTGCTCTTTGACAGAAAATAAGTTCAAGGAAAAACAAATCAAGGTCCAAAGTCAGAAAATAATGTGATTTATAGAAATATAAATTAAGAAACAAAGAAAAAAAACAGCCAAACAAGGAACGCAATTCAGTTTCCACCACAGAATTTTAGTGACTTTCACTCTAACTATTTTTGTGGGCAGAGTTTGAAAAGTCTACCATTCTCGCYTCTGATTAGCCTTTTAATTATTCTGTCTGGAAAACACTCATCCTAACATAAACTACCAGTGGTCCAAGAGAGACGATCTTAAGGTTACCAGTGTTCAGGTGACACAATGGACAAGCATCAGGAAGTAGGATTGGGAAGTAACATGGTTTTAATATTATAACTGTGTAACTCACTAAATTAAAGGTTTTTTAAAGGTTCCTATTTTCTGGAGTAATGCCTTCTATATTTTTTTTCACAATTATAAATGTCCAAGTTTGAACTAACCACAGTCATGCTTTCAAACAGAATAATGCTCCAAGATATCAGAAATTTGCAAATGTGATTAATTTAGAGTTAAAACAAAAAGAACAAAAAAAAACTGAGGAAACAATAAAACAAAAAATGAAGGTCTAAGTTATTAGAAACTTTCAAATCGGATTAATTTAGAATTAAGAAAAAAATACAAAGATGAAACAGAGAAAATAAAACCCTAATTATCAGTGGATGACAACCTATTTAAAATAGTGATGTATACATATACATACTGTTGTACATGCTCATGCCAGGAACATGCATACATGCTGAGTGATACTCTGATGAAGTGAAACATTTTCTTAATGGATTTTTATTACATATACAAAGGTCTGTCTTTATAATTCTTGGCATAGCTCAGAAACCCTGGGCTTGGAGTCATAATAAAGCCATAATTACAGACTACCATAACCAGTAGTCATGGAGACCAAGGAGAAACTCTTTAGGAATGTCCTTCTTCCTGCAGAGTGGGTCTCTTTCAGCTACCATCAGAACTGCCTTGTGTTTTCTTCTTTTATGTAATTCTCATAAAGTTAGATTTTTAATTTCAGAAATATGATTTAAGTCATATGTTCTGTGGCAAGAATACTGTGGTAGAGTAATAATCAATAACATACACACACTCCAAGCTAGCAGCAAAGCTGAAATTTTATGCAACATTTGAATAAAATGTGACCATTTTGAATCCAAATATTTTGGTATGCAGAATGCCAGGCAGGTTTCCTGTAGGGTCATGCACATTCCCAAGTATTTGCCATTTCTCTTTTAACAGTAGCATGACTTTTAAGAATATTTCCATTTGAAATAGTGTTTCAGTTCTTACGTACGGAGCCCGCGAGGGGATATGGGGGGATTTTTTTCCTTTGCGTTCCCACGCAGTACTTTTGTGTTACCTCGCAATATTATCTTGCGCTCCCATGCAAAAAATTGTTTTGCATATGAACTGAATTAAATCAGACTTTTATTTTGAAATATCCATTTACCAAAACAGGATGTCTTGCCACAAGTTCGTGAAATTGACATTGATGTTGCGTGGCTACACTGTGTTAAAATATCGGCATATGACATACTCCCATGCGTGGCTGTGTGATATATTCATTCTGAAGCGTAATTAAAGCAGTAGGCTAACTCGCTAATTAGAGCTGGGCGATATGATCAAAATTTTATATCACGGTATTTTCAACATTTTCACCGGTTTCACGGTATTTGACRGTATTTTTCTTTTCATCACAGCTCAGCTGATAATAAAATGTACAAACCCTGCTTACTGACTTTTTTTTCTTTTACTGTACCTCTGTCTGTGTCACTGTTTCCCTCCTCTGTGTCTGTTCTTCTCTGACTGGTGGTTGGAGACAGTAATCATGCATTTTGGTCCAGTCGTGAAGAAGGAGGGTTAAGAAAAGATTGTGATCAGGTTTATTGTTTTATGTTATTTATTAAAGCTTATCAGCACGACTCTTCTGGCTGAAGAGATGTTTACTACATTCAGCGACGGTGAAAACGGGATGTTTTTTTAAACATCAGTCAATATTAGCAGTGGAATCGCCACCCACGGTTGCAACTAGCTGCTCCAAACATTAGCATGCTAACGCAAATAGCGGTGCAGCAAGGAAAAATTTCCCTCGGGAAACAACAGTTCACTGGCGGCCGCAACGAAACGTTCCGCTATTTAAACCGGAATGTCCGGTATTCAAAAAATTCACATCATAACAAAAATAAAAACGTGTTAAATGACTTTTGCGAGGGGACGCAAAAGGTATTGTGAGGTAACGCAATACTTTTTGTGTGGGAACGCAAAAAGAAAAAAAATACCCCATGTCTCCTCACGGGCTCCGTAGGTTCTGAAGTTTATTCTACAGAAGAGTTTTTCATTTTGAATGTGTAAAACAGCTTTGTTTTGCAAATAAACTTTCTCTTGAGTTTCTTTACTACTCAGTCTGACAATGTGGTTTTTTTTTTTGTTTTGTTTTGTTTTTGCAAAAGAACAAGAAGAAGTTTACAGGAATTGTCTGTTTAAAAAAAAGAAGAAGAAGAAGAACAGCCAGCGGAGAATTTCCTTCATCTGTGTTTTTGGACGCTACAGACACACAATACCCACAATCCACATGATGGAAAGGTCATGTTTTCACTTTATCTGAAACAGAAAGGAAAACAACCACATTGCGATCGAGGGTACAGATCAACTTGATTTTTTTTTATCTTTGCATGTGACTTTGTCAGGGCCATGACAACCTTGCAGGCCTTGTGAATGTTAAGCTCAACACTTGACAATCCAGACAGCCTGCTCTGTGTTACAAACACCAAGACGGTGGTTTGGGTTTTAAATCAAATCAGTGTGTCAATGTCTCTTTTATGAAATTAGTTTTCACATAAATGATGTCTTCCTTTACAACTTAGAAATAATCTAGAAGCAAATTGTGCACAAACTTGGAATATTTCAGTACACCAACTCATCCCATACGAGTGGCAAAGAAATGTCCATCTTCTCGTTTAATGTCTTAAGGGTTAATTTTTGATTTGTTGTAACTGTACAGTGGTAGAGGGACCTAATCAAGTAATTCATATGGAAATAGAACTTGTAAATGCCCAAAACAGCATTCCTGATGTCATATGTCAAACAGGTCAAAATCAGAACTGAATCCTCCAAATAAATGATTTAATTAAGCGAATATGGTGATAATTAAAAATAACCCAGTTAGTCAATTAGTTGATAAGACTTTTAAATGACAATAAATAGTATTTTTACTCTCAACAACCTACTGATGGTGATGATGGAGCACATTTTGGTGATATGGATATGTTTTGAAAGCCCTTTTTGAGATCCTAAGAAGTATATCTGTTGCTACTCAGGTACCTTTAAGTAATAATCTTGTGTACACTGGATGTATCCAACCTGTAGACCCTATCTAATCATTTTAAGTGTACACCTCAAGGCTCCCTTCAGTCTGTACATTCCAGCCACAGACACTCACCCAAAGCCAGGAACAAGGTTCTGGAACCAGGCGATTGGAACTGGGTTCAACTACCGCTGGGTCCTGAGCTTTAAACCAGTGAAAGCTGGCAGCATGGACAAGTTCCCCGACTAGCTCCTCCTTAAACCCTGAGCTGGCAGCCTGTTTTCTACCCTCTATCTTTTCAGCCGCTCCCATTCGTGTCTTTTGTATAATAACCGCCGATAAACGACGAGCTACATGCCACGGCTGACCCCCCATCACGTTCACACCGGGGTTCCTACCTTGAGTGCAGCCTCTTGCTGGCCAGGTCCTGGCTCACTCCGTTAGCCGCCGACTGAGCCATGGGGAGCTAATGTGCCTGGCTTCAAGCTCGCTTCCTCCCGCTACGAGACCTCTTTTACAATTACTTCCTCCAGGGGCAGCAAGCCTTTTTTGTCTTCTTCTTCCTCGAGGCGTGCCGCTTCTCGGCGCCCTCCCTCCCCTCTCGTTTTTTGCTCTATTCTTTCTTCGTTCACCGCAATGGCAGCCTAGGAAGTGAGGCTGTCTGCAAACAAGCAGCGGTGAAGCGTGGCCCCGCCCCCTGGTTACGTCACGTGGCCTCAACTGGTGAGCCCGAACCAAAGCCAGTACAGTCTGATCTCTAGGAATGCAAAAATACTTCATCCATTCATTATGGAATGTTTTTATCTGCAACCTAAAACAAAATACAGCAAATAACAACAACAACATTAATAATAATAATAATA